TTGTGCACTGTTGGTGAGAATGCAGACTGGTGTAGCAACTGTGGAAAACATTAAGGAGTTTCCTCAAAACTTAAAAATGAAACTGCCTTTTGACACAGTGATCCCACTTATTGGAATATATGAGGTCTGGCCAGGAAAGTCCAGCCATTGTTAATATAATGAGAACAGTTTGTGTGGCATTGATGTAACCTGGCAGCCAAGGAGACTGGAATGGAATTCACATGCTTGAACAACAATGACTTCACTGTTTTAGTCAGTGGGGGTGCTACATGGCATTGAGTGAGCATGTGTACTGTGTGGCTGTTACATTCAAAAGACTGAGTGAGTAGAGCAATGAATTTAGCGTTAAGCTTGAATAATCCTCTATAGAAGCTATTTGAATGATTCAGAAGGCCACAGCTATCGGTAACTTTTGATTGGCAGCTTCATCAGACAATGTGTCGGCTCATGCATCATGCTTCCTGCAGACTGTTTTGGTGAAATATCAGGTCATTCAGCCCCTCTACAGCCCAGATTTGGTGTTCTGTGACTTATGGCTTTTCCTAAAACTGAAACCACCTTTGAAAGGGAATAGATTTCACACCCTTGATGAGATTCAGGAAAATGTGACAGGGCAGCTTATGGCAATTGGGAGAAATGTGTGAGGTCCCAAAGTGCCTACTTTGAAGGGGACTAAGGCATCATTGTCCTATGTACAATGTTTCTTGTATCTTGTATCTTCTTTAATAAATGTCTCTGTTTTTCATAGTACATGGCTGGATACCTTCTGGACAGACCTGGTATCCCAAAAAAATGAGAAATGCTAATTTGAAAGAATATATGCACCTCTATGTTCATTGCAGTGTTGTTTTCAATAGCTAAGATCTGGAAAGAGCCCAGTTGTTTATCAGTAGGTGAGTGGATAAAAAAACCACAGCAGTGGTACATTTACACAATGGAATACTACTCAGCTGTAAAAAGTAAGGAAATCTTACTTTTGTCACAGCATGGATGGACCTGGATATTGTTATGCTGGACCTGGATATTATTATGCTAAGTGAAATAACCCAATCATAGAAAGACAAATATGCCCTGGCTGGTGTATCTCAGTGCATTGAATGTCAGCCTGTGAACCAAAGGGTCGCTGATTCAATTCCCAGTCAGTGCATACACCTGAGTTGCAGTCCAGGTCCCTGGTAGGGGGTGCATGATAGGCAACCACACATTGATGTTTCTCTCCCTGTCTTTCTCCCTCCCTTCCCCTCTGTCTAAAAATAAATATTTTTTTTAAAAAAGAAAGACAAATATCATGATTTCACTTACATTTGGGATCTAATGAACAAAATAAACTGATGAACAAAATCAAAACAGGCATGGATACATGGAGCAGACTGACAGCTGTCAGAGTGTAGGGGTGTTGGGGGAGTAAATGAAAGATGGTAAAGGGATTAACCTATATATGTGTGTGTGTATGTGTGTGCGTGTGCATGTGTGTATCACATAGCCACAGACAACAGTGTGGTAATAACCAGAGGAAAAGTGGGTGGTGGCTAGGAGAAGGTGGGCAAAGGGGGAAAAATAGAGATGGAAGGAGCCTTTGCTTGGGGCGGTGTTTGCACAATGTAGTGTGCAAATGATATTTTATTGAGTTGTACATTTAAAACTTGTATGGTTTTGTGAACCGGTGTCACCCCTATGCAACAAGTTCAATTAAAAAATGAACTATGAAACCATTTAAATCACAATTATGAATAAAACGTAGTGGCCTAGTTTAAAAAAATAATGTATTCATATTTTTAAAAAGTATAAGCAATAATCAAAACCAATACTTAACTGGATTTCATCAAAATGTAAAGCTTCTATTCATCAAAAAACACTGTCAATAAAGTGAAAAGACAATCCACAGAAAGGAAGAAAATATTTTTAAATCATATATCTGCTCAGGGCCAGAATTTATAAAAAACACTTACAACACAACAACAAAAGACAAATAATCCTATTTAAAAATGAACAAAGAATTGCAGTAGACATTTCTCCAGAGAAGATAATGTAAATGTCAATATATGAAAAGATGTTCATTATTATTATGGTAAATGAAAATTAAAACCACAACAAGATACTACTTTATACCAATTGTAGGAGGGTGCAGCCAGGGGGCCCCTGAAAGAAGGACTTGTAATGGGGTTCAGAACTCCAGGTGTCCAGACAATATTAGAAAGATATATCGGATGTCCTCACCCTCTACCACAGGTGTGAGTTGGGGGAAGGAACATATGGAGCAGAGCCATTGAGAGCTGTTTTGCATAGCAACTAACCTTTGCAGCTAACCTCTGGTGTGGTCATTTAACATATCTCTAACCTTTAACTGCTTGCATAGATATGTTAAATAGCTGTGGCCATGCTCTGAGCCAGGGGGATGGAAGGAACTTCCCCCCAAGATGTAACTGGGAGACAACTCCCCCTAGTTACAGTGCCTGCGTAAGAGCTTGGAGATAATTGGCTCCATGACATGGGGCCACCCCTGCGCAGACTCAAGATGGAGCCCAGTAAACCTGGAAGGATATTTAAACCCAGACTTGGTGGCCATTAAAGAAAGAACCATGCGGCTTTGGCTGAATGGAGACTCCTGCAGCCATGTAAGGAGAGGGAACATGTGGCTGTGGCAGTGAGGAGAACCAGGTGGCGTTGGCCAGAGTGGGGGGACCCCCCCCCCAGGTAGCCATGAGAAAAATCACCATGCAGCTTTAGCAGAGAATCACCACGTGGCTTTAGCTGGAGATCCCAAGGGAGGCCTACCAGCCTAGGAAGGCCTATCAGCCAAGCACAGATTACTGGGAAGAACCGGGAGCTGCTGAGCCATGGACTTCCATTTCTTTCCCTGAGATATGGTACCCCAGACTGGGCAAAGGGGGTAAGGAAGGACTGTGTGTGTTTGTGGGTGTTTTAAGGGACTTTGGGATTTTGATGAAGACATTAAGTCATTACTCTTAGACTGTATAACTTGAATAAATAACTACTTTCTTTTTCACCAATCTCTAACATGGAGAGCTATAATTCTCTGGTGAAGGGAAAGGCGAACGTAGTACAGGGGGACCCCAGGAAAAATGGGGGTCAATTCAGTAGCATTGTGGGACCCTTTTCCCTGGCAGCCAATCAGGGAAAATCATGGGAGACCACATGTGCAGTAGCTTTAAAGTAATACAACTACTTGTACATGCGCAGGAAAAGCCCACCAAAACTAGCCAGGAAGGATCTGCCCTATAAGAATAGAGTCCCTCCAGCCCATGAGGTCAATCTCTGCTTGGAGTTGGCCTGCTCCCATGTTCTCTGCTATAAACTCTGGGTGTTTGGTTCAATTCTTTGTCCCGATAAAGTAGAACCTGGTTACCTGTGCCCACCTGTGACACAATTAAGATGGCTGTAATGGAAAAAAATTATTGCATCACTTCTAAATGGTAAGTTTTTTCCCATAGATTTATAATTTTAGTGTTGAAATATTAAATTCCTATTGTAATTATAGTAATTGTTTTGATTATAGGTTTACGTCTATTCTGTTTAAGAGAACAGATTAATAATTCCTGTGCAAGCATTATTTATAAGTTTTTGTCTAAAAATCTAAACATCTGAAGATTGGAGAGAATGGTTAAATCATGAAAATATCCTTACAGTGATATTATTGAAGCTACTACAAAAATGTTTCAGACAATATCTAATAAACTGAGCAAATGTCTATTCTATGTGAAAAAAGGCACACCATGAAAGTGCATCTGCAAAATTCTTCCAGCTTTGTAAGACTTTATTAAAAAGGCAATGGAAAGTGTTATATTTTGCTGAACTGCAGGGAAAGGGTGGTGCACTTCCACTTCTTATTTTCTTCATGTCAATTTTCAGTATTTCATATCATGCCAGCATTATGCATACAATTCTTTTGCAATCGGTGGAGGGAAAAAGCAGGGGAAAAGAGAAAATGAAAAAAATATTCTCATGGGTAAAGTCCAGAAATGACAAATCAGTAAAAATTGCCTAGGGATTGGGTCAAGATGCTATACAAGGCACTGGTGCATTTTTCTCATTCTTCCACAAATCCCTTTAAATGACAAGGAAAGGCAGGTTTCTGAAGATAAATAATTCCAGAAAACACCAGGTAAAGGAAAAGGCGAATTCCTAGATGGAAAACAGATGGGGCAGGGGCACAGATGTAGGGGTTGGGTGGAGTGGGGTGGGGAGTCTGGGGGTCCTGAACTGGAGAAAGGGAGGGTGGGGTTGTTGTGGGCCAGACTGCTCAGGAATTTGAAAAGGGGAGGGTCCAGGAGGCAACCAGCTACCCCAGCCTGGGGCAAAGGTGGGCGTGAGAGTTAGAGGGGGCACACGTTGTTTGGCAGGAAGACGAGGCCTCCCTCCTGGCAGGAAGCTGTGCTACGGGAAGGAGGGAGACTGCTGCAGCAGTAGCTGCTGGTGGAATCCTAATGTGGCAGAGGGGTGTCTGCCGCCCTCCGGGAGGCATGCTGGAGACACAGCCATCATCCTCTTGGTGTGCCCGGCAGCCTCCTAGGCACGCTCCGCTCCTTGTCTTCGGATTCTCTCCAAGCAGCTTCAGCAAGCTCCTGGCCCAATGCCTGCTGATCCTCTTTCCACAGAGGCTCACGCCCAGGGAGCAGAGAAGTGCTGTATATGGGCACATGAGGCCCAAGATACTTAGTTTTGGGGAGTCTGGACCATCTGGCATAGATGGTGTTGGAATTTGGGCAGAGAGGAGTAGTGGATGCCCCCTGTTTTTGTAACCCTAACAGCAACTCCCTCGTTCTAGCTAGCTGGAATGAACTGGGGAGGAAGGTTATTACAGGATGTCTTGATTTCCAGCTTTCCTGTGTAACTTTCAGGAGATACTTATGTGTGGGTGCACAGAGTGAACTAATTAGGAGATAAAGCCCATTGTGTCATCCATTGAATTTATTTTTTTAAAATTCCCTTTCTTGGCCTGCTTTGCTACTATTCTCCTATCAGGTAAGAAGGCCCCATTTGGAAAGGCGGCTGTAGGGCAGCAGTCCAGAACAGGCTCAAGGAATGCGAGTGTGCCTGTTACCATGATGAAGAGAAAGGCTGCACACAAGAATCACAGGAGCAGACCACCTTCCCAACCTCGGAGGAGCATCGTGGGCTGCAGAATTCAGCACGGATGGAAAGATGGAGATGAACCACTAACACAGTGGAAGAGAACTGTTCTGGATCAGGTACCTGCAAACCCCTCTCTGTATCTTATCAAATATGATGGATTTGACTGTGTTTATGGATTAGAACTGCACAGAGATGAGAGTGTCATCACTTGAAGTCTTTCCTAATAGGGTTTCATCATCTAGAATCCGTGGTACATACTTAACAGACATTATTATTAGCAAAGCAGTGGAACATATTTTTTAGACAGAGGAAGGCTCCAAAAATGAATGGAGTGGGATGGTCTTAGCTCAGGCATCTGTCATGAAAACATGGTTTTACATTACCTATGAGAAGGATCCCATATTATATATGTACCAGCTATTAGATGATTATAAAGATGGTGACCTACGTATCCTTCCTGATTCCAATGATTCCTCTCCTGCAGAGAGGGAGCCAGAAGTCATAGACAGCATAGTTGGCAAACAGGTGGAATATGCCAAAGACAATGGCTCCAAGAGAACTGGAATGGTCATTCATCAGGTAGAAGCAAAACCTTCTGTGTATTTCATCCAATTTGGTGATGATTTCCATATCTATATCTATGATTTGGTACAAACCTAAAATACTACTGGTCTCTCCCATTGGGGACAGCCAAGCTCTGTTTGTTACCTATAGTCTTGGGTGTTGACCACCGTAGCTCAGAGAATAAAATATCCATGTATATGATGGGATATATCTTATGTCTTTCTTCATGTTTCTGACTCAAGAAAAAAGACTTCTCAAAAGTATTTGGAAGAAAACTTCTACCCATTTCCACTTGCCTCTCATTCAGTCTTCCATATGGGAGGAGGAATAACTTGGTAAAGTTGAAAAAAAGGTATTATGGATAAGCAGCTTAGGCTCCTGTTGGCTTCTCAGCTCATTCCTCACAGCAAGGTATGGGAAAGAATGTAGTCCTTCATTACATGTATAGGTAAATGTCTATTTTAGACTAGGGGTAGAAGTTCATTTCAAGCTCAGGTCTAAACCATGGTCTCGTATCAGTAATAAAGCTGGTATCTTTTTATTATTTAAAAAATGTTAATATATAAATTGTTTTTGGACAAAAACACATGTCTCTGGTAAAAATGAAACAGTACAAAAATGTGCAGTAAAAGGTAGGTCTCCTTTCCTCCTTCCCACCCTTACCTCAGTCCCTCAGTCTTATATACCAAAAGTAACTACAGTTACCAGTTACTATGTATCATTCCAAAGATAATCCATGTATTTACAAGCATATTATGTGTGTGTGTTTATCAGTTTTTTTATACAAATGGTGGCATTCTATTCATGCTGTTTTGTAGTTTGCTTTTTCATTTAACAATATATTAAAGGTGATATTTTAATCCCTCTTTGATTCCTGTGTGAATTGTTTAGTTGATTTAACTAGAAGACATTAATCATAAAAATTTAAGATGATGCAAATTAATAGAAAGATATTGTGCTCGTGAATTAAAAGAATTAATATTGTTAAAATGTCCATTCTACCTAAACAAATATACAGATTCAATGCATTCCCTAACAAAATAACATGGAATTTCTCACAGAAGTAGAACAAACAAATCTTAAATTTGTAAGGAACAACAAAAGGCCCTAAACAGCCAGAGCAGTCTTGGGAAAGAACATAGTTGGAAGCATCACACTTTGAGTTCAAAGTATATTACAAAGCTCCAGTAATCAAAATAGTATGGTATTGGCATAAACACACATAGATCAATGGAACAAAGTTAAGAACCCAGAAGTAAACCCATATGTATATGGTCAATTAATTTGTGACCAAAAAGGCCAAGAATACTGTCTAAACAATAAATGTAAATATCTTACTGCCTTTAATCAATGATTCATGAATCAGGTATCATTCCATTAAGCAGACAAAAGAAGCTTCGAGGAGCTGTCCAAAATTAAAGACTTTTACAGGACCATGGGAAAAGGACAAGGAAGTTATACCAGCCAAATGTGGACTGGTTGTAGTAAGGTCACCTTCCTTTAGGGGTCAGTCAGGCAGATTACCTTACTAGTGTGACCACGTACTTCCAGATTGTAGCTTTAAGATTCCATTCCTGGGAGATGCTGAAGCTGTAATCAAGTTAGGCATTTTTTTTTATTTTGGAAATCATTTATTTATTTTTTATTTTTGTTTGATCACAGTTGTCCAAGTTTTTTTCCCTGTTGCTCTCTCCTGCCCTGCCTACGCCCCCACTCCTGCAGTCAATCCCCACCCTAATGTCCGTGTCCATGGGTCCTTTATATATGTTCCTTGACTAGACCCTTCCCCTTTCCCCGTTATTCTCTTCCCTCCCCTCTGGTCACTGTCAGTTTTTTCCTTATTTCCATGTATCTGGTTCTATTTTGCTTGTTGGTTTGTTTTGTTGGTTAGGTTCCACTTACAGGTAATATATGGTATTTGTCTTTCACTGCCTGGCTTATTTCACTTAGCATGATGATCTCTAGTTCCATCCATGCTGTCACGAAGGGTATGAGTTCTTTCTGCTGCATAGTATTCCATTGTATATATGTACCACAGTTTTACCTGAACAGACACTTCTCCAAGGAGGACATACAGAGGGCTTATAGATGTATGAAGAGATGCTCAGCATCACGAACCATCAGAGACATGCAAATTAAAACCACAATGAGATACCACTTCACACTGGTCAGAATGGCCATCATTAACAAATCAACAAACATCAAGTTAGGTATGAAGTCTTGGTTTGGTGACATGGAGTTTAAAGTGACTCCTTTTTGCCTGTTGTTGCTTTTTAAAAAAAAAAAAAAAAGAACAACCAAAACAATACAAAGGGGAAAGGATAGTCTCTTCAGTAAATGGTATTGAGAAAACCAGACAATAAAGCATGCAAAAGAATGAAATGACCACTATTTTATAAGTACTGCATGTCAACTGGTTGCACCACTGGAGCTCCAAACAACCACTATTTTACACCATACACAAAAAATAATTCAAAATTGATTAAAGACTGGAATGTAAGACCTGAAACCATAAAACTCCTAAAAGAAAATATAGGCATTAAGCTTGACATTTGACTCGGTGATGAGTTGTTTTTTTTTTTTTGACACAGAAAAGGCAGCAATAACAAAAATAAACAAGGGGGGCTACAGCAAGCTAAAAAGCTTGTGTAGCAAAGGAAATAATCAAAATGAAAGGAAACCTATGAAATGGGAGAAAATATAAGCAAATCATATATCTGATAAGGGATTAACATCCAAAATATGTAAAGAACTCATTTCAATAGCAATAAAAAAACAACCTGGCAAAAATATGGACAGAGAATCGAAATAGACATATTTTCCCAAAAAAGACATACAGCTGGCCAATAGGTAAGAAAAGGTGATTAACATCAATAATCATTAGGGAAATGTAAATCAAAACTGCAAAAAGATACCACCTCCCATGTTTTAGAATGTCTATTTGAAAAAAAAAAAAAAAGAACAAGTGTTGGTGAGGATGTGGGGAAAAAAGGGAACCCTTGTGAATTCTTGACTGGAATGTAAATTGATTCAGCCACTATGGAAAATAGTATGGAGGTTCCTAAAAAACAACAACAACAAAAAAACCCCTGCTAAAAATGGCACTACCATATGAGTCAGAAATTCCAGTTCTGGGTATTTACCCGAAGAAAAGAAAAACACTAACTTGAAAAGATATATGCACCCCTATGTTCATTGTAGTAGTTTATTGGGTTTCTTTGGGTATCATTGATTTGCAAAACCATACAGGTTTCAAGTGTAAAACTCAACATATTATTTATAATAGCAAAGATACAGAAACTGCATAAGTGTTCATGAATAGGTAAATAAAATGTTTATATATTATACACACAACAGAATATTATTTAGCAATAAAAATAATAAAATCTTGCCATTTGTGACAACATGAAGAGAACTTGAGGGCATTATGCTAATTGGAATATCAGAGAGAGTAACTAGCCACCTGGTTCTATAGAAAGTAATAGAATAAGTCAGAAAGTAACTAGTTACATGACCTGCCAACTTAGGAATTTATTAGATCACCTTGTGAGGTTACTTTCTATAGAACCCCTTTTTCATTCACAATTCCCCATTGTGGTCATACAATAATCTGAAGGATGCATTTATGTATAACCTTTTGGTCAGAAAGGGTGATCTCACAGCACCAGGAAGACTCATTCCTAGGAAGTCTCACTATTGATGTCTTGTTGAAACAGTGGACCATTGGGGATGGAGCAATACTGGATCTGTAAGGTGTGAGTGAAAACTAAATTTTTTTAAGATTTTATTTATTTTTAGAGAGGGAAGGAAGTGGGAAAGAGAGAGAGAAACATCAATGTGTGGTTGCTGGGGACCGTGGCCTGCAACCCAGGCATGTGCCCTGACTGGGAATCGAACCTGCGACACTTTGGTTCGCAGCCCACGCTCAATCCACTGAGCTACACCAGCCAGGGGCTGAAAACTAAATTTTTTGACAAAAGGGAAGGGCAGGTAAATGGAATCCAGTCAGGTCTTGTGGCCTTCATTGTGGGGGGGGGGGAGCAGAAATGCCCTGCTCATTTCTTTCCTGTGAACTATCATGATCTGAGTTTTGCCTTCTGTTTCATTTTGCTATATATGACATAGCATAACATTTACATGGGCCATAAAAAGAGTATTAAAAGCTATCTTATTCGGTAGCAATATTAAGTTGCCTTTTTCAGTAATGTCAGCTTATAAATTCCTTCTTCTAAGTCCAGCTAAAATGCATGATGTTGATGCCAGGGAGCTGGAAAGAAAACAAGCCACCAACTTAGGTTTCCTAGAGCCCATAGCCCCAACTATTTATTTAGTTTACAATCATTGTTTACTCATACATAATACATTAGAAGTTTTTCATCGCTTACTTTACAATGCTTCTGCAATTTAACATTTAAAAAATATTTTAAGGTGTTGCAGGAATTTTAACCCTGTAAACCTCAATTTCCAATAAAAACTAAGAAGTGTATAAAAACCCAAATAAAAAGTTAAAATATTGTTGTAATATCATTAGCAGACAGAAAAAGACAATGAAAATGGATTCTGAGTTCAATATTGATCTGTAGATATACAAGCCTTGTCAATGTCTTGGGATAACTATTTACCTCTGATGTCAGTAGCTTCTTATCCTAGAGGAGACTGATGTCTGTGGTTGGAGACAAGTGTCAGAGACAGGAGTAAATATTCATTTCAGGCTAAGCCTCTTTTTGAAATGAGAAATGTTCATCCATGAATTAACCCCTTTAAATTTAGCTGTACATGGGTTAGTTAGTAAAACCTGATAATGTCCCTTCTAATGAGATTGGTGAGTCTTTTATTAGATGTTTTTTCCAATAAATAATACCTGATTGTAAGATATGGTCTCTGAAGTCTTTGTCTCCCAGGAGCACACTATCAAATGAATCAATTGCTAATTTATTAATTTCTTTAAGCTGGTTAATCAGTCCTTGAAAATAATACAGAGTATCTCCTCTTTTTAATACTTATTTTTAATATATTTTATTGATTATGCTATTACAGTTGTCCCGTTTTCCCCCCTTCATTCCCCTCCACCCTGCACACTCTCTCCCACCCACATT